GGTCTCTGATACCATGAAGAAACTGAGACCAAGATACTGAGATTCAAGAAGAAGAGGAAGAGCAAATGTAAAGCAAAGAATAATCTTCATTACTTAGAATTGTACAGATTACAGGTTTATATAGATCTAAAGATATCCTATTAGCCAATGAATAAATGCCAGCTAAGCAGGGAAAATAAATATAACTATAATTATTTCTGTTTACACTTTAACAAGTTATGTTGTCTTGCTATGCATGCAGATATATGCTCGGATCACATATATATATGGGGGTGTGACACATAGACAATTGTTTAGCAATTTGAATTATTTGAAGCTTGTTGCGTCCTGGTGTATTCGCGGCGGTAGAGAAATATAAACTTTAACGTCTTAGCTTTGTACAAAGATCTAGCGCTCAAGCAGATAAGAGAGAGGGTGTAAAGTTCATAAGAGACACCAAGATTTTTACGTGAAAAACACTAAAAAGAGAAAAAAATCATGGGGCCTAGCCCAGTTTATATGAATCCACTAGTATTTACAGTTGATTACAAATGAGGCCCCTAATTAGAAGGAAGGACATGGCTTTATGTAATAAATGTACATCATATAGAGTGTGTTACATGATGGAAACATGAAGAGTCATTATTTATGTATTTGTTTGGTCGGAAGGACCTTAGTTGGTGGGTGACGTAAGTTAGGAGGACCGTAGTTGGCGAACGACGGAGGTCGGAAGGACGACGTCAGGTAGAATTCTAGCGATGGACATACATCCAACATCGGATAGAAGTCCGACGAATGTCCAGCTACCAGCGAAAATTCAGCGTCGAGTAGAAGTCCTACGGAGTTCCGGTGACAGGCGGGAGTCCAGCTTCGGACAGTAATTCGGCGACGGGCATAAGTCCGGCGTCGGATAGAAGTTTGTGGATGGACATAAGTCGATGGACAAAAGTTTGGCATCAGATAGAAGTCCGGTGTCGGGTAGATGTCTGACGGAAGTTGGGTGACGATCAAAAGTCTGATGTCAGGCAGCAATCAGGTGACATGCAGAAGTCCGGTGTCGAATAGAAGTCTGTCAATGGACATAAGTCTGACGTCAGATAGAAATTTGGTGTCGAGTAGAAGTCTGACAGAAGTCGAGTGACGGGCGAAAATCCGGTGTCGGGCAGCAATCTAGTGATCGACAGAAGTCTGGTGTCGGATAGAAGTCTATCGATGGACAGAAGTCCAGCGTCAGATAAAAGTTCGACGTCGGGTAGAAGTCTAACAGAAGTAGCACTACAGGAAAATCACTCATTTCCGGCGGCAATTTCCGGCGAAAATTGGGCATTTTCCGGCGGTTTTGCAATTTAGCGGCGGTTTTCCGGTGGTTTAAATGCCGCCGGTAAAAACCGCGTAGGAAAATAAATTCCGGCGGCAAGTTTATCCGGCGGCTTACCGGCGGTCTTAAACCGCCGGTAAATCATAGTAAAAATTTTATTCATTTTCAATAAATTTTTTTAAGCCGCCGGAAAAGTGACAAAGCCGCCGGTAATCCGTCGGAAAGCCGCCGGAAAATTCCGCGGGAATATTTTGCGGTAAATTAGCCGTCGCAAAATTTTGCGGGGAAATTAGCCGTCGGAAAGCCGCCGGTAATCCGTCGGAAAGCCGTCGGACAATTCCGCGGGATAATTTTGCGGGAAATTAGCCGCGCAAAATTTTGCGGGGAAAACTGGCCGTCGGAAAGCCGCCGGTAAGCCGTCGGAAAGCCGCCGAAAAATTTTGTAGGGAATAAGCCGTCAAAAACCGCCGGAAATTCACCGGAAAACCGTCGGAAAACTGGCCGCCGGAAAATTCCGCCGGTAATAAGTGATTTTCCTGTAGTGTAGGGTGACGGGCATAAGTCCGACGTCGGGCAGGAATCTAGTGACGGGCGGAAATCCGACGTTGGGGA